GCGTAGAGGGGGAGGATCACCTCCTTGGACCTACTTGAGATGCACCTGTGGATGCACGATAGGGTCCGGTTAGCTCTGCTGACCGTGACCTCGCATTGTCAGCCCATGTTCATCTTGGAGTCATTGATGACTCCAAGATCCCTTTCTGCCTCCGTGCTCTCAAGAAAGGAGTTTCCCATCTTATAAGTGTGCTGCTGGTTACTACTGCCCAAGTGCAGCACCCTGCACTTGTCAGTATTGAAATGCATCCTATTTTTGTTAGCCCACCCCTGCAACCTATCCAGGTCTTGCTGCAGTCTTTCCCTCCCTACTAACGTGCCCACTTCACCCCAAATTTTGGTATCATCAGCAAATTTGAACAGGTTGCTTTTCACCCCATCGTCCAAATTGCTGATAAAGAAATTGAACAGCGTGGGCACCAAGGACCGAGCCCTGGGGGACTCCGCTGCCCACTTCCCTCCAGGTCAAATATGACCCGTCCACTACCACCCTCTGGGTATGACCCTTCAGCCAATTTGCAATCCATCTGACTGTGTAGGCATCAATGCCACAGTCGCCTAGTTTTTTAATGAGGATGGGGTGGGAGACAGTGTCAAAGGCCTTGCTGAATTCCAGAAAGACTACATCCATGGCGACACCTGCATCCAATGCTTTTGTGACCTGATTGTAAAAAGCAATCAGGTTGGTCTGACATGACCTGCCCCTAATGAAACCGTGCTGGTTTCCCTTGAGCATCAACCCCAGTGCCGGCCCATCACAGACGTGCTCCTTGATGATCTTCTCAAAGAGTTTCCCCAGGATTGAGGTAAGACTATATTTTCCCGGGTCCTCCCTCCTCCCTTTTTAAAAGATGGGGACCACATTGGCTATCTTCTAATCATCTGGCACCTGGCCCAAGCACCACGAGCTCTTGTAAAGCCATGCCAAGGGCCCAGCAATAACCCCTGCTAGCTCCCTCAACACCCTTGGGTGGAGAGCATCTGGACCTGCTGATTTGAACACGTTCAGCCCCTCCAGAAGCACTCTAACCTGGTCCTCCTCGACCTTAGGTCTTGAGGCATTCCCCTCGAGTCTGTCTTGAATCACGGTGAGGGAGTCCCGGTCCGTGCACAAGAAAATGGAGGTGAAGAATTTGTTAAAGAGGTCTGCCTTCTTTGGCGCAACCACCAGATTGCCCAGCATATCTTGCAGGGGCCCCACATTTCCTGGTGCCTTCTTCATCCTCCCTATATATTTGAAAATTATTTTCTTATCAGAGAATTCACAATTTTTAAATATGGAACACCAGGATCTCTGTTGGTGAGGCAAGTGGTGAGACCTGGGCAGAGAAGCTTGTCCAGGAGCAACACTGGAGGGCAGATGAGGTGGTTGACCTCCTGGCCATTTGGGGTCATGAGGACACGCTTTTACAGTTCAAAGTGGACCACCACAATGGTCACATCTTCTGGGTAATAGCTGCCCAGATGACAGATGACATGACAGCAGTACTGCTCAAAGGCCAACTGTGCAGCCATGGCCCACTGTCAGCTGGCCCAGAGGTGCAGGAGACTCCGCCGCAGTGCTCATACTACAGCCTAGGTGGTAGTGCAGTCCCTGTCCAGGTCTGGCAGGTGTGCAGCCATGGGGCCACAAGACCAAGAGGGTGGATGCTATCACCGGTGGCAGCAGATCGCAACCAGGCAGCATCCCCCATTGCCAGACTGCTACAATGAGCAGAGAGTGCAGGGGCCACTCTAGGTTAGGGCTGCTTCAGCAGTCCAGCTGGCACAAGGGGCTAGTGTTCCCAGATACCAAGTTACCAGGCCTCAGAAGCTCCTGAGGGCAAGGTGCTCCCAGCCTCTAGCTCCCCCTGGCTGAAGATCCAGGGGGAGCTGGGCAGGCAATTTGTCCCACACCAAAGTGCACGTTCAGGCACGTGTGCCAAGGCATAAATCTCCGGCACAAATTTGTGATGCTATATGAGCTGGTGCAAGTGCACATACCTGCATGTGTAGATACACCCAGGGTGTGGATCCTGGCTGAATGCATAGTTCAATCTGTGTAAACAGTGCAGTGTGCATCTGGTTCATATACTGTAGAGTGAGCTTCCTCTGAATTTTATACTGATTATATTCTGAAATTGTGAGTTGCAGCCTGTAGAGTACTACTGCTAAACTGCAACAAAATAGCTGGCAATATAGACACTTCTCATTTCCAATTGACGTTACTAGATCTCAATGTCTTATTGCAAAGAGGACTTTGGAAGCTATTATAACCTAGCAGCTCAAGACAGGATGAGTACATTTTGTTGCTTCTACTAAGAGTTGCTGTTATGTTGGAGAGGGTACTAGAATTGGTAAAATAGGCCTGAGCCCCCTAGTACTAGTGGCCACATAAATGTGTATAGATCAACAGGTGAAAAGGCCAAAAGTGTAGTGGGGAAAGAAAGAAATATGTAGCAGAAAAGCATTTGAAAATAGGTAGGGTGTGGAGATGGGAAGAAGTAATAAGGCAGATGCTGTCATTGACTCTTCAAAAATCCTCAAATGAGCCAAAATATTTTGCTCTAGACAGCTGCATTAACACTAGTACTTTTCCAATATTTTCTAAGTAATTGCTGTAGTTTCTCTAGAAATAAAAGTGAGATGGGATGGCCCATGCAATAGTTAATGGAAAGTCAGTTGACAAAATCATCTAGTTCAGAAAATGATGCTATGGTATGGAACTTTAGGCAGAAACTCTACCACAGAGGTTCTTAAAGGGATTTGCTCTAGGTTTAGGGTGTCTTTCTTTTCATCTTGCTAAAGCAAAATGCAGCCTCCTTTCTCTCTTTCTTTACTAGTTACATTAGTATCTTGGCTTTATGCGTTGGTAGATAGCAGTGATCTTTTTTAAAAAGTTTAACAATTTAACAAACACACGTTGTACTTCTGCTGTTAATTTGTACAATCACTTGTCCAATGCTTAAGTTACAATATTCCTAATTAAATCTAGAAAACAAATTTTAAAACACCAAGCATTGACCTCTTGTGGGGCTATAAGAAACAATAGTAATCTAACTTCACATGTTTCCAGCATGAACACTTTCCTGAGATACTCTTTAGCCAAGCTTTAGTATAGTGATTTATGTAAGAAAGATTACTGCAATGTTTATCAGGATTGATTCAAGACATTTAGATGCTGCTTCTCTCTCTTAGCTGAGGTTCTTAATTGGCTTAGGAAAACCTCTCTATTTTGCCATCTTCAAAAGTAAAGGTTGTTATCTGTCTTCCTAATGATGACAGCATTGTCTAATGAAAGGAAGGTCTAAAATGTTTAACTTTAAGGACATGGCAGAATAAATAACAAGTCCCCAAAACAGCGAGTTCCAATAATCATCAATCACACTGTAAAAGATGACAGGGTGAAATGTCTGACATGACACTGCCATTTATGGCACTTATGAAAATGGACAAAAGCTATACATTCGGCTTTGCAGTTGCTTTATTCTAATTGGGCAGATTTTACTATTATACTATTATTCTGCATGGCAGAAGGGTGACAAACAAAGAGGCTTCTGTGATCTCCATGGCACATTTTTCTGTAAGCTCAAGAAAATGTCTAATTTTCCAAAAAAGAAAGAAAATTGTCCTTGTATTTATGTTTGGCCTGAAGCCCAAGTTGCATGTCCATCTGGAAAAAGTCAAATCCATATTTTTAGTTCCTGCTCACTTATCATGGGATTTTGCAGAAAGGGCCACAAGTCAGGGGAACAGTAATTGCTTACAAGGTCAGTCTTGCATTGTGCTGAAATAATTTTGTCAAGGGCCTGGTGGGTGGAATAGAGGACTGAAATTCTTCCATGACCGGGCTCTTCAAATTTCTGACATCTGTCTTACATTGGCTTTGTTTTCTACTAACAACATATAGATTCTTTTATGCATACAACAGCCTGAAACTTGATTGTGTTAGCACATGACTCAATGTAATTATAGAAAAAATTCATCTCTTCTAAAAGAGTTTTGAAATTTGGAAGAATGTCTAATTCTAATAGTTACATGATAGAGGTAAGAAACTATATCTGCAAGTTTTAATGTAAAGTGAAATCCTGAACTGCCTTATAAACGTTCTAATGTTTTTCCACTCAGGAAATTTCTGTAAAAATATAAATTTAATAATGCATATGGAAAATGCTTCTATAGGAGTTATCAGGTTACATTTTCAGCTGATTTTTGTCAGTGTAATTTCATTGAAGTTAACAGAGATAAACTGTTAATCTATACTGTTAATCTATACTAAGTATTATTTTTCTTCTTTACTGGTTGCTATCCCAATGGTATTTGTATCTGCAGAGGATTTTTTTCCTGGGGGAGATTGGGAGAAGCTAGCAATTTTGTTCTCATTTATTTTTAACATAACACAACTTTACATCTCTTTGGAGACCTACAATTTATGTAAAATATAAGTTTTCAGTTCTTCAAGACATTTCAAACCTAAGAGGATAGATGACCTGTTTCTGAAATAGATTTAAACAGTATTACCAGCTTGAAAAGAACCAAGATCATGAGTTAGGTCCTGAAATACCATAGGAGGGTTTCCATTGTGTAGGATTAATGTTCACAAAAGGGAGTTTCTTGCATCATTACAAAATTGGCTCTAAGCCCAGCCAAAATCCTGTTACTTGTGAGTAATTGCTGAGAGCTGGCAATGCTATCTATTCAATGATTATTTTGATTATTTTGGCAGCAATAGAAACCAAAATCCCAGGTTGACTCAAATTGTGAATATGTGGAATAAAATATATTAGTACTGGAAGTACTGCATATTAATACATATGACATACCTTGACTTCTTAGAATTGCAGCTTTCAAACATCTGCAATACTTTAAAGAGTATCAATCCAAAGATATCTAGGATACCCACACATCCCCTTTAAGAAGGTGCAATTATTATGAAAGATCATCACCATGACTGAGTCAAAAACAACATGCTCATTACATGGCGGTGCATAAAATCTTTATTTAGAACAATAAAGTATATGTATTTAACGTAATTCCAAATTCAAACCAGTATAAAAAAGGATCAAAGCATACATCTATTTTAAGAGGACACATATATACAAACACATCACATTTTATAAACTTTGTTGATTAACCTTCAGTCAGAATGTAACTATGCAAGATTGTGCTGACATTTATATTGAAATATACAAACTCACCCATGATGCACCAGCAAATGTTTGTGCCTCTGTCTCTAAAGAGTCTGAAGATTCTGCGTTCCATAAGTTTGATAATATAATAGCAACATGCCGCCATAGCATATACCTGTTCTTAATATATATTTGAATCAAAATTCTGATTTGGAAAAACTGTTGAATAATTCTTAAATACAAATATAACTCAAAACAGCTAAAGTTATAAACCGTTAGCTTTTCAATTCAACAGTGGTGTAATGTGTTCTGAACAGTTTCACCATATTACCAAGGGATAGCAACAGAAAAGACATGGCTGGTAAGTGTCAGAATCTAGAAAACATGCAAGTATAAGACTTTCTACTTATGTTCCATAGTACTGCACATTAATTTTTATAAGCTTGCTTATAAAATTACCTTGTGATGAAATAAGTACCATTAATTTATTCAAGTAAACACACATCTAAAATAGCACATTAAATGTTGCTGCATACTGTTAGCTGCTTTTTTATTCTCACAAGCCTGCTATTAATAGCATGCAAAGTTCAACTACTCCAAAGGAAGCTTAAAAATGTTAGTTCCTCACAAAATCCACAGAGATCTGATAACTAAGTTGGGTTGACCTTAATATAGCAGAACACTTCCTTCTTTCTCCCCCATTTTAATAAAAAGACATTCATTTTCTAATCATGTCAATGCATGGGTTGCCCCTACCTGAAATGGAAGATTTAATAAATTATTTTTATTCAGGAATTGTACAACAGCTTACAAACCTGGAAAGAAAAAGTAGTTATGGGAGAAGAAACAGTTGACTCTTTACTCCTATAGAATAGTGATGTACTCCATTATTATTACCATTGATTTCAGCTGTCTCTCAAATCAGCAGATGAATGACATTCTGTCTGAGGTTTTACTCACCAACTAGCAAAATCAGGCAGGTTGTAGAAGCAAGTTGCAGAAATCTTAATTGTTAGTTTTCCAAACACTAAAAAAAACTACTGTATTTTGAGCTACCTAAAGGTGTGTTTCAACTTTGTGACCCTCACTTTAAAAGGCGCAAACACTTAGTTCAAATCTCTGAAGTGACAGGAGAGGGTGAAAGGGAGTGTAGAAGAACCAGGAGCTGTCAAAATGATTATACAGCTCAGAGGACATGTGATACTATTTCACTTTCTGCTAATGGATGCTATTTACATTCAAAATGAGAACAGTCGTGGTTATGTAACGTTTGTGAGTTCAAAAGGGTTGTACGTGTGGGTTCTTCCATTATTCAGCCTTAAATTTGCCTTGTTCTGTGGCAAAGATGAATGTATGTGGCATTAGTATAAACACTGTAATATAATTAAGCTTATGGACTGTTGCTTTTGGAACATTTTGCAGTAACGTGTTTCTGGATTAACTGTGTTTTGGTTTACACCTGGTACATTACCCTTTGTTATCCAGAGTACGAGATATATTTTAAACTTTGCACAAAATTGTAATTAGGACATCGAAGCCTAATTTAAGAAACATCACCACGTATTTCTCTAAAAGTTCAGTGTTATATTAATATTCATTTAATTGTCTTAAAAGATAATTACTTAGGAAAATTAGCATCTCTATGAGCAGAAAATAAATATTGGAGTATCATTAAATGATAGGGGCTTAGGAAATTGCTATAAGATTTTAAGTGCATAGTTTCCTTTTAAATATAGTAGATTTTGGTGATGTGAAATATTTAACATTTTAGTAAAGTGCTCAGAAATAATTGTAGTAATTTCTTATTGTTGGGTTTTCCCTCTTTGTCAGAACCTGTATTCAGGAATTCTCAATAAATAAGGTGCAAATCCAAAACATGAGGTCATGCTGAACTTCTAAAAGTAATTCTTAAAGTAGGTTTGCAATGCAGAGTCTGGGGGACTAATTAATATAGGCTTGTTTAATAATCATATTATACTAAACTGCTGTTGGAAAAATTAACTGCTGTTGGCTGCCCCCTATGGTGTGTGACCCACGTACTGTCTGGCTCAGGGCCCTGGGCCCGACCCCTCCCCCCCACCACCCAGAATTTGGACAGTCCTGAGCTTCATAATTAGCCATAATACTTTTTGTAATGTAGCACTCAGATCAGTATATAAAGCATATTCCTTTGACATATCATTGATAGCAAATTTAGATAATAACGAAAGCATCTCAATTGCTCTTTGACGATTTAAATAAAAATATTTAGAGAAGTTAGCTAACTTTGTACAAAATTAAAATAATGTTTGCTAAAGCAAGAGCGTTTCTTTTAGTCAGTTTTAATTAAACTGTTACTGGTTTAGTGGTCAGCTTTTAAGCAGTTTGTCATTTGGGTTGATCCACATCTATTTTCTGCAGTAGAAATCCTTTATACAGATAAATATTTACTGTCCACTATCCAGAAGCAGCCTGTACAAAAAGGATGCACAAAGCATACTTTGCAAGTGCTAGTATAATATTTTTAGTGCCAACCTGACAAATGTTAGTTTTTTATCAGTCTTGTATCTGTAATACATATATTCAACAACATCAATAGAAACCAAAGACAATTGGAAATAAAGCTTTCATCTTTCTGTTTAAATAGAATTAACCTTAAAAGAATGGAGAATGCCAGATTATAAAAGCTTATTATTCAGTTAAAATACAATGCAAATACGTATTACAGCTGACATACAGTAAAAGCTAAGCTCACCCTCGGTATCTTCCAGACTTCTGAAATTTTATATAAAAGTCAACATATTGGTGGAATGGATCATCAACATTCAGAATAGGTTTCAATAGTTCGTTTTTATGCCAGACACTGAACGCAATTCAGACTCTTTGCTTTTTGTCCTCTTTGCATGACTGAAAGCCTAACTGGAGTTGTCACATATCCAGTACTTATGCCAAATGTCAAAACTGTTACCCTCACCTGCTCTTGCTCCAGTATTTGCTTCTCTGAACAGAGACCACCAGCCCTGCTAAATACTGTGGAGGCTTTTTGTAGTGGGCTTACATTCACATAGTGCCAGACAGACCACATCTCATTTTAGACATGATACAAACCCAGGTCCGTTATAGATGAAGAATGGTCCTTTGCACCATCTTACTTGCAAGTTTTACAAGCAGTATTGAAGATACGTTGTTTGCATCCATTTCTGCATTCCTTGTCAGTTTCAGGAACTCCATGTGAAGACACCAGGGTAAAATAAGAGGACACAGACTGTGAATTAGGAATACCTTCTTCCCCCTGACATTCATTGATTACACGTATCTGGAGGCATTTCAAAGATCATTTTTCAGAGTATTTACTTTGTTTGCCAGACTCAGCTGAAACTAATACAATTAAAGTCCAAAAATGCCACGCAAGGTAGTTATTTGCATAAAATTAAGTCCTGCTCAGTGCGCACTCTCTTCTCAACGTTGTTTATTTCAGTGTTGGTTTCACAGTAACAATCACACACACTGTCCTTATTTCTGTATCATGAGTGTGGAGTTATGGGCAGCAACAACAGATGCAGACTCAGTCTGTCACTCCAGAAGGAATATGAATGTGCTTAAAGCTGCTTCATTTATGAAGCGAACATGGAACTGTTATCTGCCTAGAAAAAAGGAAATTGTGATTTTTGCAGGTTTTATTTCTCTCATTACTACTTGCTAGCAAGTGAATCATATAAAAATAGAGTACACATCTCCTTTTGAGACTATACTATTATCCCAAAGCACTCTGCAAAATATTTTAAGAGACCTGGTTTCACTTTCATGTGCAATTCATTAGGCTTTGCAATATCAGGAATGGCATGCCCCATCCTTGTAAGCATTCCTATAAAGTGTCCTGTTGTAATCAGTGGAACTACTCACCCACATGTGTTTTCAGGATTGCTACACTCTTGTCTTTGGGGACAGAGTAGTTGAGCAATAATCTTTCAAAAAGTTACAAACATTACTCATAAATGTTTGCTGATCTAATGTTTAGCACACAGTTGCCTTCTTTGTTAAAAGATAATGGACATGTGGAAAGAATTGATCTATGAATCCTGGACTGATTATGGCTAAATGAATCAGAATCTACACTTTGACCTGCATCTGGAAGTGAACACAAAAGTATGAACTATAAAACATGAATCACCTGTTTATAGTCTCAAAATGGCCCATCTCATTAAGAGGTAAAGAATATTCAGCACCAGTTGAATTTTCCAGACACATTTCAAGTTAATGATACCACTGTAAAAAGTTCTATGTCAGAGAGGACCACACTTCTCTGCCAGGCTCATGTGAAATGAAGAATGACAATAGACTACAGAATCATTTAAATGTCTAGGGACAAGAGGTGAATGCACCAAGAAAGTTGCAGACCATGCTGGCTAATGCTGCATACATATATCTAATAAAAGGTTTACCCACATCTCTTTTCTCTTGGATTTAGCATTACTTTTATCTTACTGAGGTTCACTAAACACACTTTAATTCCTACTGTCTTGAAAGATCATCTGCAGATTGGTGCCATTAAACCTGTGTAACCTATGTTTTTCCCCAGAGGCTGTATATACACAATGAATAAAAGGTGTGAAAAGAAAAATGTTAGTTTGTGACCTATAAGGTCTCTGTGAGGGTAAAAGTCTACAATTTTTGTTCCTGGTAAAAATCAGAAGTACAATTTAATATTTTAACAGTAGTTCTCCTATATCTTGAATCAGAGATATTTTTTCCTCTCCCATGGAAAATTTTCCCTTACTCATTGCCTTTTGACCATTAATCTGTTATGTTCAGGCTGTAACATTTAAGCTGTATGTCAAATGACTAACTCAAGGTTAACTATATAGTCAATAATAACACCTTATATGTGAGCTAAGTGATTAAGAATGGGATATATGAAATAATTTTGCTGCTTTTAAAAGCAGGTGAGACTTACTGTTCATGAGTGCATTGACTATAGGAACTGTTTTGTGTGTCTGCTCCTATTCTGAAGTAAGTAAAGCTTATACCAGAATGAAACACCCATTAAATTACCACAGTTTAGTTTCAATTTACTGAGAAACAGAGCAGACAGATGGAACATTTAAAGTGGAACAGCTTAATCAGTTATGCTAGGGACAGGCATTACACATAAACCAGTTTAAATGATCAGAAACTGGTTTAAACCTGTAATAGAACAGACATCCAGTTTGAAAATGGCTGAAACTGGTTTAAGATAAATCTGGTTGAGTACTATTAGACTTAACTGATTTGGCTCAAACTGATTTTTGCAACATCTGTCCCAGATCTTTTGCTGGTTTAAGTTAAACCAGACATCCCCAGCATCCTGGCATGCTCTCTGGGCTGGGCGGAGCTCTCTGCTCCACAGCAGGGCTGGCCCCTCCCCTTTGCTCCCTGGCTGGAGCTCTGGCAGAGACTTGCAGGCAAAGCAGGGACTGCTGGCTTCCCTGTGCCCCCCTCTAACTCCCCTCTCACCACTCGCTGCTTAAGCAGAGACCCCTTCCTGCTCTCTCCCACAGCACAGACTGTAGCCAGCATGTGGTATGCTAGCTAATGCTGTGTAAGGCAGACAGAACAGTGTCCACTTAGGGCTTTTTGGAGGTAATCAACAGCTCAGATGGTAATGTCTCTGCATTTCTTCCTTTGGAAAAGGCTGTTTAAGAAGAGCTTGTACTGAGTGAGGCTTTGTTTTCTGATGGGATGTTAAATGCTGATAAAAGAGCTGATAAATGCTCTGTTATCAAGGGGGTGAGGGAGTTCCCTAATCACAGTGTCCTGTGGCAACACCTCCCTCAGTTCAGCCCTGTACAAGGGAAGGGAGGGCTGCTCTAGCATCACCCCCGACCCCCCGGCTTCTAGCCTGAACCACTGCAGGCATGTGCCTGCATTTCTGGGATGTCTGTACACTTACGAAGTGATTTAGCCTAACCAGGTTAGACTAACCTGCAAAGATTGAATTAATTCAGGCTCAGGCTTTTTGAATGTCTGTCCCTAGCCCCAGTATATACCTGTTAAGTTTATCCCTACTCTACCTTTACAGTCACTATCAATTTCATTAGGCAAAAGTTATGAAGGCTACAATTGAAATCTTAATCATCCTGTAAAAGAACTTACCAGTACATGAAACAGTAACAGTGTTGGAGAAAAAGAAGCAATGGCTACACTTGTAAAAGCTCTTTTTCTTTTTGCTGCAACATACTGGAAGACAAAAAAATAAACATTTCCATAATGATAAAATTTCCAGGGCATGGCAGCAGTGAAAGAAAGGCCTCATATATTAGTCACCCCTCCCCTATCCCCCCCCCCGCCCCATATTTACAAGCCTCACTGGGATGTTTGAGAGTAATAGTGAAACACCCCTAAGACATATTTGCTGTTATGTTTAGTTATAGTACAATATTACACTTTCTTAATGGGAGAAGGAAAAGAAGAGGTAATATTTTACATTTTTAATAAGACTTTTGATAGGGAAAACATCCTATTTTACCTCCTCAAAAGGTAGCCTCTTGCATTTAACTAAATGGTATCATATCTTTTGTTCCCTGAAACAAGATTTTGAACTGCCTCCGGGTAGAAGCCCAATTTCAAGAGTCACAGTACAGATGCTGGGAAAGTTATTTGTAGTAACAGTTATATTTGATGAATATAATGTCTTTCTTCTTTCAATGAATGCTGCATGAATAGGCTGACATTTACAAAGTTGTTAGCTATTTGAAATTGGTTAAATATACTAAAATTTTCAGTAAGGTTTCACAAGTTATTAAAATTAGGAATTTAGGAATTGGATGTTGGATCACTATCTAGTCCAATAGATTTTAGAGCAATGGCCAGCACCAGATGTTTCAGAAAAAGGTGTAAAAAGCCTATAATGGGCATATTTTAGAAATTCTGACTCCCAGAATCGTTTTTATCCTAATCTCTTATAGTTAAGGATAGAAGTAAGACCTCAAGTAGAAGGTAAAATATACCTTCCAAAACTTTTAAAAATTAGTTATTATAACACTGGATATTCCTGTTACTTACTTAAATGTTTTTTTTAATTTCCCTTAAATTTTTGCTTATGCAATTTCCAAAGGCTACTCTGAATGTCTTAAACTATGTATTATTAGTGATATGTAAGTACTTGAAACATGTAGATTTTTTCTTCTTGCCAAATGGATTAAACTTAAAAAAAAAGACCTTAGAGAAAGCAAAAAAGATTCAAGATGGCATTTTGAACATACTTATCTGAGTATTCATAATATATTTACTAACTGTGGATGTTACTGCTAGTCAAACAAATTCTAGGTACTTATATGGTCCCCATCCTATAGTGAGAGTGACAAAACATTCTTATTTATAGAAAAGTTTATTAAACATATTCAAAGAAAACATATTAAACATATTACAAGCACTGTTAAGGAGAGTTGGTTCCTGCTCAATATTAATCCAGGTCTATGCAGGACAGTAAATGAAAAAAATCCCCTTCTATTTGCTGATCCCCATATAGGTCTAATCATATTTGGGATTGGCTCCATACCATGCACTGCCTTCAATGCAGAGTGCTTCAGTAGTGTTACCTTTTACCTGTGACCATTTCTCCTGATTTAGCACATTTCACCTTGAAGCAGTGAGTACAGAAAGAAGGAAGTCAGCTGCATCTAGCCTTCCCTTACAGCTAACATTGGTATCAAAAACCCCAAAAAGAGAGAGGCCACCACACCACACCTTTCTCTTTCCTCATGCTGCAGTACCTGGTTAGTCCTTTTACAGCTGCAGTTGGACAAAAATCTGGGAGTCCTACAAGGGACCTATTATGAGGGATAGGGTGGAAATGGTATAATTTCTCTATCAACCACTGTCACACGAGAAAATTACTGATGGAAGAAAAGGAAGTTAGTTCTCTACTCCAGTACTGAAAAACAGAAGCGATGATAGACAGTTCTGATAACCTGAAGGAATGTGATCCCAGCCAGTCTTCCTCAGTCTTCATTTCTAATTTGTTGAGGAAGAAGTAGTCTGTAGCTCCTTCCCATGCTCTCAACAGTAATTTCAGTGAAAGTTGGGAAAAAAAGGTGGTGGACTTTGCCATTCAATGTACTCTGAATTCTATAGCAGAATTCCCTCCCTTAATATCACATGCAGGCACAGAACTTTCTGGCTTCTGAGTGCTTAATTTTGCAACAGTAATGTCCCTTTAATGGAATTTTTGTATACAGAAAAAACATAACATTTAAAATTAAAATAGGAGCACGCTTTAAGGAACATGCTTTGGGCACAAATTCTTCCTAATGTTCTTTTATGACAAAGAATCTTGACATTACTTTTTCTTTTCTCTTTTTTTTTTCTTTTGGCTCTAAGCACATCTATCTGAGATTGCCAGTTCTTAACATTTCTTTCAAAATAATATTTGATTATTTAAAGATAAGTTATATGTGAGGATTGAAGTGGAGCCAAATACCTTATCTCATTTTCTTCTCGACAGTCACTACCCCGTTCAGTTTCTTCACTTTCTGGTTGAGATTTGGGATGTGTTTTCTACGAGCAAAGTACATTAAATACAGATGTTACTTTATAGATGTATTAACAATTATATATATTCAGTTATGTTTTTCAATACCAATTGAGACTTTTTACAGTATAAGCCAAATTTTGTCTGCAGTAAGATTCTTATGCACTTCTTATGTCAAGTGACTGCTTGAATGCATGTTAGCATGCATGTGTGATAGAGCTTAGCTATTATAGGTATGTACATTTTAGTATGGGTGTATATACATACACAAAATATATACACATATAACATTTTTATATATTAGTGTGTGTGCATGTGTATATATAGACTGCTACTTATTATCATGGCCTATATATATGTGTGTGTGTGTGTGTGTGTGTGTGTGTGTGTGTGTGTGTGTGTGAGAGAGAGAGAGAGAGAGAGATAATATTCCATGATAAATTCATGATAAATGGAAGTTAAAGGACTAGCACATAAGGTCATAATGGGACACCTTGGCTCAAGGTTCCTTAATTTTTGGTCCAATGGTATTTGGTTAGTTTACTACCACATATGATATTTTAAAATTGGTGGGGGGAGGGGCTAGGATAAAATTGGTGGGGTGGGGATATTAGAAGAACAAAGAAAGTTTGAACAAAGAAATACAAATTTGAATGGTACATATTTCACATCATGATGAGATGATTCTAGTTATGAAAATCAGGAATTCCTACAAGAGTAATTTAAATAGTGCCTCTATATGAATACTGGTATTTCTCACCTTCCAGCATACTGCTCCCAAAGCAAGGCCAATAAGAAGAGAAAACAATGATGGCAATGCTATGCTTATCCCTTGCAGGCTAGAGCTGCTAGTGTAGCCAAGTGTATCCTCTGTAATTAAAAGCAATTTAGTTAGTGAACACAGATTTATGAACCAAATATCTTCAGGGTATCATTATCAACAAAATCACATTTATGTACCACTTGCATAATATGGCAGCTCTCAGTATCCCTGCTAGCAAAGAAAAACACTGAAAGATACACCTTCAAAGTGTTTTGTTTGTTGGATGTATTCTTCATGCAAGTATTTTACAGGGAAATTTTTTACCATTGCATAAAAGTACTTTTCAGAGCTTTGAAATCTGTGCCTATTAATTCTATCATTAATGTGAGTTTTTTTGGTCATTGGTAAAGTATACTTCAACAAAAGTTTCTATTCTCTCCATCCCTCATTTATTGGATATTCAGTCCATAATATCTTGCAAGGTTTTATTTTATAAACTGAAAGTAACTCATAAGAGAAACAGACCTATAGTACTTCTATACACTTGTATTATTATTTAATTTCTGCAAGACCTAATTGCAGAAATTAGGTTGGCACTAGGTTGGCACTCTGCCCAGAGATCCAGCCTGGCAGATGGCTGGTTAAGGATACTGGGGCTACTCAAGAGACGTTAGTTTAACAAAACCATCACAATAGGCCAGACTTCCCTCCCTTCAAATTCCTGTGGGAAACTTATTGACTTAAATGTGACCAGGCCTTTTTTAAGTCTGGCTGTATGCTACTTTGTAGTTATCATTTCTTGTAGCAGTGTTTGTTTTTAAGGTTTATGCAGGAAGTCCCAACTCCTGTTCTTTGAAATGCACAAGCATTTTGACCTCAGCAGGAGTTGTGTTCATGCTGAAGCCAAAATCTGACCTCCCAGTTACTTAATCAAGAGAAGGATGTGAAACTCCTATGGAGTATAGACCTAGCTTCCACCTTCTAAAACGCAAACTAAGACACAGGAAATTTTTATATAGCTGCCTAGTGCCTACCTAGTTTTAGTTCATATCTGGAGCTGGAGGCTGCAATTAAAATGATACATAATCAAAATAAAAGGGAAAGCTCTAAAAGCAGTGGAAAAAAATCACTGAGGTTAGATAAATAATTTGAAGTCAGTGTTGATAGCATGTGAAACTACTGAGCAAGTGATGCATGCAAAGAGCAAATTATGGTAGTAAGTAGCTAAGACATACTGCCTTAATCAGGGGTATACATGATATATTGTTAAGCAGCCTTTAAAATGCATAACTTAAATTTAGAAAGGAGCCTTCTCACTTTTGATTGGTGATCAGCTTTAAGGCCTTTCTGACCCACTGGTTTTTACGTTATAGTTGCCACAAAGATCCTTTGTAGCCTATTCCATCTTTCATGTGTCAGTGTAAATACAGTTTAACTGTAATGTATGGTTTTACAAAGTTTGGGTCCTAAGATGGGTTGAAATTTACAAAGATTCTGAAGGTCCACCAACACTAAAGGGAAATGCTAGTTAAGCAAAATAAATAACTGATTATTGGAAAAATTGAAAGGATAGATTTTTCTGTATGGATGGTGATTAAGACTGCTAGACACATTAGGAAAGCTGAATAGAGGAAAAGACTCTAAAGAGAAGTCCATTCACATCACCTCATGAAGAAGGCTGCGTGTATACAAGTTCATGAATGAGTTAGTCTATAAGGTCCCACCCAACCCTGCCTCCTACAGAGGCATTTGTTAACCTGGTCTCTTTTGCCTTTGGCTGCATTGCTTCCAAAGCATTTACAGGGAACAAAGAACTAACAGGCAGTCTACAAAACTCATCTTTTATTACACCTTCACACTATTCAAATGGATTATATGTATTTACTGTTACCTATTTGAATAGTGGGATGGTGCCTATATATATATAGGCATAGGAGGATTTGCTGACCTGTATTTCAGAAATTTAGGGTCATGGTTCCTTTGGTATCTGAGCATCATGGAGCTATGATCCAAATGAGGCATCATAAATAATTAAGAAATGAATCTGTATTATAATTGTATCTGAACGCAGTCAGATCATATTTTTAGAAGCATTTGACTTATGGTTCTTGTGGAAGAAAGATTTCTGAATTTCTTTTACCCAGTCATATTTCCGCATACAACATCTACCAGTTACACAACTAAAATATGTACCTCAAGCTATAGGTACTCCCATTTGTAAAGCTTTACTCAGTATATACTAGGGGGGAAAAAAAGTGAACAAGATTCCAAAGAAAGGCATGTATTTCTGAAGGTGACATGAAGCAGAAAAGCTATTTGATAATGTGTTATCTGAGGTAATGTCTATAACTTACCAAAATCTCTCCACCTACTCTATATTGCTGAGGTCAGTAGACAATGACAAGTATGTAGACATTTACATACACTTTTAGCAAATATCATTCAACACGGTGAGTTATAACGGTATTCAGGAAATTGCTATATTTTCAAATTTGTTAATATATACTCCAAAGAGTCATTAGACCATATACAAATTTGATTTAAAATCACATATCAACAATTCAGAAAATCTTCCTTTTGGCAAGAATTTGTCCATTTAATTTTCTCTTTTTCCTTTCACATTTACACAAATCTTAAAAGGACTATTTGGTTAGCTTTATATAGGATGTAAAACCTATAAACATAAACTAATACACATGACTAATCAGGTCCTGAAAATGTCTTATCCATTCGATAATGCTTTCAAAGATTACTTGAGTTTTATACAGTAATGGACTACCAAGAGCCAGGAGACTGAAATTAGCCATGAATTGTATTATCATGTGACATTTATTTCTGATAACATTTAAAATGACCTAAGTAATCTTAAAACGAAGAAGACTGGCCCCCAAGGAGTCTAAAGATAGATCAGGAAACAAGAATGAGGAAGTGGTACAATACAGAATCATAGAAAATGAGAGTTGGAAGGGACCTTAGGAGGTCATCTAGTCTAACCCCCTGATCAAAGCAGGACCAGCCCAGACTGGATCATCCCAGCCAAGGATGGAGAGTCTACAACCTTTCTGGGTAACCTGTTCCAGCGCTTCATGACTCTCCTAGTGAGAAAGTTTTTCCTAATATCCAACCTAAACGTCTCTTGCTGAAACTTGAAACCATTGTTCCTTGTTCTGTCATCTGCCACCACTGAGAACATATAATAATACATTCATATACTTATATGTTAAGTAGGTTATATGTAAACTCTTCTCATATGAATCATAGCACAGATAGGTCTTTAAAAGCAGGAATCTTTTTCAGAATAGGAAGCAGCCATCCACATATGCTCAATGTGGGTATTTAGTGTTCATGGGATGGCATGAAGGCAGAGTGCTTTGTGTGACTGGCTGATCTGAGTGGTTAAACTTCACACTGGGAGACCAGAAGGCACCATGGCATGAGAGAAAAGAAATGAGATAGAGGATAGAGGGCCATTACAGTCATTCTGATTTTTATTTGAAATTTTTATTTCATTATAAAAGAATTTTCAACCCCCAAATGTGGAAAGAGCCACTGAATTAAGACTTTGGTTTCAGCAGATTTAGGGCTTACTTGTTTCTACATTTACCTTCCCTTTATGTAATCACTAATAGGCTTACATTCCCATAACCTTTAGATATCTCAAATGGTGGAAATAACTAGTTGCGTAGCTGCTCTTAGGCTAGGGACAGATATTCAAAAGCTTGAGCCTGAATTGATTCAACCTTTGCAGGTTAGTCTCACCTGGCTAGGCTGAACCGGTATGTAACCAGACAGACATTCTCTGGACTGAGGAAATTCAGGCACATGCCTGCAGTGGCTCAGGTTAGAAACTGGGGGGCACTAGGGTAGCCCGCCCTTCCCTTCCACAGTACTGAGCTGAGGGGGGCATGGCCAGGCCCTGGCAGGATATTCTGATTAGGGAGGTCTGCCTGCAACATCCCAGGCTTTTCCCCACTGGCTGCTCAAGTGGCCGGAGTGTGGCGAGATTCCAGCTCCCTGCTAGCACCCTGAGGCAAGGCCGGGAGGGGAGGGAGGGTGCAGTACACACATCTGATGATGATATGGAGCCTTTCAATGTCCCCCCTGCTTCTTTATACTGTGTGCAGAAAACTGACAGGCAATCAAGTCCGTAGGAGGTTAATAACAGTGTTTATCACCCCATCAGCAAAACAACAGCCTCTCTCCATTACTTCAAACTCTTCTTAAACAGCTTACCAGCTGATCTGTTGATTAGCTCCAAAAAGCCTTAAGTGGTCACTGTTCTGTCTGTCTGTCCCAGTGAAATTGGAGACACACACAGACACCTTGGCATTAGCTAGCATACCACATGCCTTGGGGCTGGGGTCTATGCTGTGGGAGATGGGAGGGAGGGTGGGATTCCTGCTTGAGCAGCAAGCAGCGAGGGGGGAGTAGGGCAGGGGGAAGCCAGGCAGACCCTTCTCTACGTGCAGTCTCTTCCAGAGCTCCAGCAAGGGAGCAGAGGGGAGGGGCCAGCTCTGCTGTAGAGCAGAGAACCCCACCCAGCCCAGCCCAAAGGGCATGCGGGGATGCTGGGGGAGCCTGGTTTATCTTAAACCAGCAAGGGTTCTGTGACAGACATTGCATAAACCTGTTTGAGCCAAATCAGTTAAGTCTGATACTAGAGTCAATCAGGTTTATCTCAAATTGGTTTCAGTCATTTTTAAACTGGTTCATATGCACTGATCATTTGTTCTGTTACAGATTTAAACCAGTTTCTGATCACTTAAACTGGTTTATGTGTAATGTCTGTCCCTAGCCTTAATGTCCATTAAAGTCTCTAGTAGTCATTTGGTTACCTAGCCATGGATGGAGAGAAAGAGAATCTGAGAGAATAATCCTCCCTTGTGGAACTGGGTTTACCTTCCAATAACTACAAGCAGTTCTGAGAGCTATTCTGTGCTGGAGCACTGTAGTCAATAATAGCAAAAGTTACATGCCTTGAACATGATATATGTTAGAATTGGCATAAACTTGAAGATTATAATATTATCTATTTCTGGAACTTGACTGATAGAGTACAGAATCGAGGGTTTTTTGTAAATTGTCACTGAAAGCAGTGGCAATCCCT